CTATTAACAAGGGCTGGTAGCTGTACATGTCATGTTGTAGCTATGGAAATGATCTGTCATATTGGTATTATAAAGTGGCTTTTGTGATTTTTTTTGGTATTGCAAATGTGTTTATTATGACCCAAATTTAATTTGTAACATTTTTTTCTCAAACAAAACAAAATTTGAAGCCTTTAAGGCAAATATCCTAAAAAAAAAGTCATTTGTTATAAAATTGTGAGGATACCCAAGCAAGACCCCACTTTAGATTCGTCAACATGAACTTGAGAGCTTTTGTCCACTGTTCCTCAGAGTTAAACTGGGTTTTTATGGAATAGGAGCCACCGCTGCCTCCTGTGTCTTCAATCTTGCCTTTCTCCACATCCATCCTGCAGATGGATACAGCAAAGCGTATTAGTAACAGATCTGAGTTAAGTCAGTTCAGGCAAAGGGGCAGGGACTTGATCATGGGACCATTCACACGTCATTTTATCTATTAAAGAACTCTTGGCGGAGAACGGTAGTGTATTTTGGATTTGCTTGAAAGCCAAAACTCAAGAAGGCTACCACAAGAGCCTCATTGTCATTGTGGAGTACAGGGATAGGACACACACCCAAACAAATGAGAAGCCAGGAGCAAGGGGTGAGTGAGGGTTACAGTACTCCTCCCTGTTTCCCTAGGCATCCCTGAGCTCATGGGGAGAGAAGGGAAACAGAAGAGAGGAAATGCTTTGTTTGGGGTGATAGAAAGTCAGTCTTATTCCTTAAACTAAGGTTTCCATCTGTCACTGGACTCTTACAAGATTTGACCAAATAAGCATTCCTGTATATTTCCAAGGGTTTGGGGATAAACCTTCTTGAACAAGAGAGCAGGCTTGAGTTGTGAGTTAAGTAAATTCCCTAAACCACTGAGATAATATTCTTTCTTTTCAGGGACCAGGCCATCACATTCTGTCCTGCTTGCAGTGCTAAGATTGGCCTTTGTCCATCACTATCATGGGATTTTGTACCATTTTCCACTTTCTTGCCACCTATTCTGTATTTTGCTCTCACTCTTACTACCCCTTTGATTCTATTCAGTTTTGTCCTATAATAAGTTCATTCTGCTTTGGAAAACACTGACCTGTAAGGAAGACAAAAACGTGTCTCGCCTTTCTCAACTTCTTCTTTAAACTGCTGTACACAATCCAGGAAAGCCACCATTGCATGGTCAAACTTGTTGTCCCAGAAAAATCGCAAGCCCCCAGAACAGTATAACGGCAGCTCCTGCCCAAGAAGCAAGAAGTGGCTATAGGTGTGGTACCCAAGACAAGCTCCCGGAGATCGTTCCCAGAGTTTAATCAAGTCACGCAGATAGAATCCCATGGAACTACGAACTCTAGTTGGACTCTATTTTTCATAACCCTGAACATCTGTATCTTGAACAATAATAAATGCATTTAGGACTATCTCATGATTAATGGAGATGTACAAAACGTCAACCTCAGGGTGATTCCTACCCCATATCCTCCCACATTCGCCCATCTCCTTTCTCAACAGACTATAAAAACGTAATTTTTCTTTAGAGACCTCAAAGAGCTATTCCTTAATTTACTAGATTCTTTGGGAGACACCAAGGTCTAAGAAATAAACTGACTCATGTTACTATCAAAATGAAACCAGTCCTTTTGTTAGCAGGTACAGAACTCTTTCAGTGAGAATGGAGCACCCCAGGGTACCTTAGATTTGTCTGTCAGAGACTCCAGATAGGAATGGTTTCCATAGGGAACAAGGCGATACCTAAAATGGAAACGCAGACAGAGATGAATGCAGGACGCCTCATAGAGTAATTACTGGAAAGTTATAACCCACTGATTTTCAATCTTCATCCTACCTAGGGGCCTCTTATAATTTCTTCTCTCTCCCACCTCCCACATGCTCCATGTTTTAAAAAGATTTTGTTTACCAAACAAACTATATTTATTACATAATTGCCTGGGAGCCTTTCAGGGAGAAAAGTGTATTTTGGATTAAACTGAATAGACAGAAGATGGCTTGAGGAACACGAAAGTTCTAGAGGCTCCAGGTTGGAAATCATGGTTATGTTCACGCAGCTCACTGATTGCTTCATCTGTGGAAAGAGCCCTAGGTGAGGGCAAAACCACAAGCTGAGTCTCCACCCACAAGCCTATTGGGAGTAAGGACTCCTGCCACAGAGGAGATTAGGACCAGGTTGGAGATACAGATTATACCAAAGATATACCACACCCCAGGAAAGAGCTGCATTTTCCTACCTCTGAAATTTCAGACCCATCTTATTGGCCAGAGCATGGAGCAACAACACCGTCTGGCCCCAAGCAGCATTAATCTCATTCCATTCCACAGGAACACTGGGCAGGCGACCCAGTCTGAAGTTATTGATTGTGCCAAATTGTCCACTGTGCCTACAGAGGATGGCAGAGGGTAGGGAAAAATACAGAGAGAAGTTTACTCTGAGTACTCTGTGAGTTTCTTCTCTCAACCCAAACCTAACACAAATCTCCTTTCCTATCTTCAGATTCCTATGTCTAAACTCTACTTAGCCCTTTAAACTTTAATCACATGCCCCAAACTTATGTCATAATTTCCTTACTTATTGCTCAGATGTTAATGCATAAAATAGGGTACCATCCTTGAATCCTTCCTCTATGCCCCCTCCCTCCAAAACGCAACTAGCTCTGTTGATTCTACCTCTGAAGCTCTGAAATCTGCCCCCTTCTCTCCAAATTCAATGCTGCTATCCCATCTTTTCCTGCTCAGAGTTCTACTAACAAGCCTCCTTACCAACAATACTGTTCTGTTTCCCAAACCATTTTCCACATTACAGGTACTGTTCACAAATGCAAACATAATTATGTCACTTTTTTGCCCAAAATGTTTCAATGGCTCCCACTGCCAGCTGGACAGAGTCCAATCCCCTTAATGAGGTCTACAAGATCCTTTAGGAACTGGTAAAGTTTCCAGTTTCATATCCTGTCCCTCTCCCCTCTGCATGCAGTCTCCAGTCACAATAAGCTCCTTTCAGATCTCTGAATTTACCACTCCCTTTACTCCTTGTTGCTTTGCACATGATGTTCTTCTCTCTGCTGCGAACTCTTTCCACCAGTGACTACTTCAGGTTTCAGCTTAAACATCAGTTCCCCCAAAAGGTAAAATATCCTAAAGTGTTCCCAACAGCACTCTGAGTTTACCATTATTACAGTATTACTGTTGTTAAGTGCCGTCAAGCTGGTTCAGATTCACAGCAACCCCGTATGGGGTTTTTGAGGAGCAGCAGGTGAATTTGAAATGCCAACCTTGTGGTTCAAACTGACCTTGCTGTACAGTGCGTTATCCCACAGCATCACACCAGAAAGCCTATCAGAGTATTACAATTACGTGTTATCCATCTCTTCCATGAGACTATAAACAACTAGAAGGCAGACTCTATATTAATTGATTGATATTGCCCTCCTGAGGCTTAGCAGTGTCTATGACATCATAAAAGCTCAATAGGTATCAGTTGAGCGGCTAAAATATGGAATGAATTAATTCAGGAATGACCCAGGGAATAAGAAATCAGCACCAGGCACAGGCAGCTCCCTTTCTTTGGAAAAGTGAATGTCACCAAGCTCTAGAATCCTAATCCCGACTGTGTTTATCCCATCACAAAGAATGAAAGAAACCTAGATAGGGTGGAGATGCCGTGCAGTCCCTATTCTGTAGGAAGCAGGCACTCTGGCTTAGAGATCGATAGCTAATGTTCAGACACGCAGTACCTCCTAGATGGTGCTCACCCTCCAGCCCTCATTACCATATGTGGAAGGTCGCATTAAAGACGTTGGTTTTCTTTAACTTGTCCAGTTGCATCTGGGCATAACGCATCTGATTTTCTACACTCTTCAGTTCATCATCCAACTCCAGCTGTTGTCGTTTAAATTCACTGTATTCCCTCTGATATCTGTGAGCAGTCAAGGTGGCCATTGAAGGCTGTTAAGTTTAGGGGCTAAAGCTTCCCTCTCACCACCCCTCTGAATGACTTGTTCTAGTGATGACAGTTACACATCTAGTTTCAGCATCTTTTCTATTTAGCATAGGTTTTAATCAGAGGAACACAAAGGCCAGGACCTAGTCATTTGGCTTGGGAGTGGCAAAAATGTCTCAAATTCCAGGTGCTCATCTGCAAAAAATGGCAGAGGAAAGCAAGATTCTTCCAAACCAGGCCAAGTTACCCCTTCTGAAGAGAGCAGGCTGAACTGGTCATAACTTCCTTTCTGTAACTTCTCTCCTTCCATTTCCTGGAAGTAGTCATTGTACACCATCCCAGTGAAACTTGTTAAGACTACTCTGTGAAAAAATGTCCCATCCTTCACTCCCAAACTTCAGTTAGTGTCTAAAAGGATGGATACTGTGTCTCCTTCACAAGACAGAGCATTCTCTCAGGTCAACAGCAGCAATGGCATTTTGAGCTGGGTGGCTACATCCTCATCTTTCCTGATGAGGATGCTGGGTACTAGGGCTGACTTACCTAATTAAGCCCCGTTTCCCACAAGACAGCACCACAACTAGAACTCTAGTTTCTTCACTCTGTCTAATCAACAAACACCCTTTTCCACTTAATCATGCTGACTCTTCCTACACAACCTTCCCAACAAGCCTCTAGAAACAACGGGCAGGACCCGGAGCAGACATGCTGTCAGCTGCATGACACATTCCGCTCGAAGTCATTTCCTTTCCTGGAGTCTCAAGGGAGGGTTGTTGTTCAGTGCCATCGAGTCAATTCTGACTCACAGCGACCCTGTACAGAGTTTCTGAGGAACAGCTGGTGAGCTGGAACCTCCAATCTTGCGGTTTGAACCAATCTGGCAGTCCAGCACATTAACCCACGGCACCACACCATGACTCCCAAGGGAGGGGAGAGAGAGGGTCGCCACTCACTGAGCTTCCTCCTGATCCAGTCTCTCAGCCTCAGCCTGGACCTTCTCAAGATTTTCTGCTACCATCTTGCGGTCCTTTTCTACGTTCTCCAGCTCCTGGATCAGCCTCTCTTCCTCCAACGCCAGCTCCTTTAGCTCCATCTGTAGTTGTTCACTATCATCCTCATTCATTTGCTCTAAGATCTCCAAACAGCGTCTGTCAAGGACACAAGTAGAGCACACTTACCAGAGAGAAGCTGCTGTTCTGTCTGTCTGAGTGGAATGCAGCTCCTGAGTAAACGTCACAGAGTCCCTGGGCAGTGATGGCCCTCCGACTGAGACCTCAGTTCGGGCTTGGGCTCTGGAGGCACTCACTTGTAGTTCTGACACTCGTTTTCAGTGACGTTGAGCTGGGTATCCAGCTGGTCTAAAAGAGTATCTGTGCATTCCTCACACAGTGGGTGATCCACATCGGTCTGGCCTGACATGATGTCAAAAAGGTCCCCAGTGACCTGCAAGGACAAGTGAGTCAGGTTGGGGTCTCTAAGCTACCTACCCAACGACCCCCTTCACAAGCCAAACCCACCACTTGACACTGGAATGAGGCCAACTTGCCTTCAGTCTTCGGCTGAGGTTCTCCATGGTGCCGCCATCAGATGCCTCCCCAATCAGAGTAAAGCTGTTGGCACTTTCTGTAGACATCATCCTGTAGACAGCCCCCCGCCCACACCGGCCACATGAGGGAGCAGAGAGGTGTCCTCCACCTACTGAGGTGCCAGTGGCAGACACTCTCAAACAGCACCGGCTGAGGGGCCTAAAGGCGCACACCCACTCCTAGCCTGGCTAACCTCCCAAGGGTACCTCTCTCCCAAGGGAAAGCCATGCTGGTCTTCCAAAGGGGCACACAGCACGAAGGCTGGCCTGGATGGGCTAAGAGGGAAGGGGCATCAAAAACTGATGTGTCTACAGTGAAAAAGGAAGGAGAATCAGGAAGGACCATTTTTAAGTATTAAATTCCTTGCTATCTTGACCTCCCTCAGAGAACTAAGGGAATATAATAACAATATTTGTGATTTAAAAATTCTTCTCAATAGCCATCTCTTTTATTAATCAATCACTCCCTTAAGTCTTCATCATCGTCTCAAGTCTTCATTATTAGAGCTACCATCCCTTCCCACTATGAGAATGGCTATAGGAAAAACTCAACACTAGTTGGAGATGAGCCAGGTATAGGGGAGTTCATCTTTTCTGAAAGAGCCAAAAGACTAGGTGCTAATTCATTACCATCACCTGGCTCTCAACCCCTGGGTTCAACTAAAATTTCTACTGGCCTTTGGCAAGAAATAGAGGGCTGAGGAGTAGTAGGCACCTGGCTGGGGGGATGAATCTGCGAGAGACACCATCCTGGCGAGTTTCAATAAATGGCTCCTGAGAAGGAAATTAGAAAGCATTAGAGTTCTGGCAGCTTAGAAGTGGAGTAAATGTCCCAAACAGCCCCAGAACTATTCGGTATTACCCATTATAACCACAGAGGCTTTAAAAACGGGTATACCTGGTCACGCCTTGGATACCTGCACTAAGAAAGGATCGATATATACACAAACCTCAACTTCCTGATTTGTTTGTAGGAACAGCATTGCCTAATAACTATGTTCTACCTTATTATGGTTACATTTACATTTTTCAACACCTACAAGTTGGCGGTAGGGGGAAATCACAGTGCAAGCAAAAAGTCATATCAGACCACAATGAAGTTTGCCACAGTATAAACAAAGTAGATAATTTATGTATGTTTGTGGCCAAAAACTTACTACATTTAACTCTGGCATAGAAAATTATTACCAACATTATGATTTGATATATACTTTATAAATGACAGGTTCTTCTGGAGCAATAAAAGGCATGAAGAAAATCGAAGACGCATGGAAACAACGTAGTCCAATGGACTAACAGACTATGTGAATGTCAGCTTCCAGGCCCCTGAGACCAGAAAAAGCTAAATGGTGCCCAGCTACCAATACCAACTGGTCTGTACAGGAGAAGGTCCTGGATAGAGTGGGAGAAAAAATAATCATAAAAAAGACCAGCCATACTGAACTGATAAAAACTGATGGAAGCCGAGATATTCTGGCCCTTGGCCACCCTTCAGGTCTGGCACTGAGCTCACCCCTGTGGGTCAACTCCCAGCCAAACAGCAGACAGGTCTATAAGGAGAACAATGAAACTAGGGAGATGCACACTCCTACAACAATTCATCATTTGCAATCAAAAGAAGAGAAAAACTACAGAAGGGTTAGGAAAGAAAGAGGAATGGAAACAGGAAACACAGGGAAGAAGTAGAGTAAGTGATGGTACATTACTAGTATTACAATCAATGGCTTGAAATACGATGTGCGTAAATTGTTGAATGGAAAATTGATTTGCTCTCTAAACTTTTGCCCAATTTACAATTAAAAATAAAAAGACATGTTCCTTTCTGACAAGGTAATCAAGCAATTCACTGTCCAAACAGATGCTTTTGAGAACAATAAAAGTAACCCAAGAGTGGTCTGCAAAGACCTGGAAACACAAGTCATGCCATCTCCAAGATACAATGACCTACAAGTCCTGATGTGGTGCTGTGGGTTAATGCGCTGGATGGCAAGGTTGGTTTGAGCCTCAAGATATGTGGTTCAAGCTCACCAACTGCTCCTTGGAAACCTTATACAAGGTTGCTATGGATCGGAACCGACTCAATGGCACCTAACAACAACAACAATTCTGTTTCAAATAAAGAGCCTAACTCCGGTAGCGTAGTGACTATGAATTGGGCTGTTAACATCAAGGTCAGCAGTTCGAAACTACCAGCTGTTCCATGGGAGAAAAAGATGAGGCTTTCTGCTCTTGTAAAGATTTACAGCCTTGGAAACCCTACACAGGGTTGCTGAGTTGGAAACCACACCACCATCACCACCCATATTTTTGGACTGCTGTAGGATAAGCATTGGCCTGCTAGCCACAGGGTTGGTAGATCAAACCCATCAGCCACTCCTCAGAAACCCCTATACAGGGTCACTATGAGTTTGAACCAACACAATGGCACTTAACCACCACCACCCACATTTTTAAGGAGCCCAGGTAGTGTAGTGGGTTATGAGTTGGGCTACTAATCACAGGTCAGCAGTGACTGATTTGAATCTATCAGTGGCTCTGTGAGAGAAAGACAGTGTTTTCTGCTCCCATAAAGATTTACAACTGCAGAAACCCTAGACAGGCTTGCTTTGAGTTAGAACCAACTCCACAGTATACAACTACTACCACCTTTTTAGGACTCCTAGTGGTACAGCGGTTAAGTGCTTGTCTGCTAACTGAAAGACTGGCGGTTCAAAATCACCAGCCATTCTGTAGGAGAAAGACTTGGCATTCTGCTTCCATAAATATTCCAACCTTGGGGCATCTCTATCCTGTCCTACAGGGTGGACAAGAGTCAGAATTAACTTAATGACAGTGGGTCTGTCCCACATTTTGCAAGGATGCCTTACTCACTAACCCTGTGGTCTTAGGTGCACACTTCATAGATCTAATGATCTATGCTCACACTGAAAGTCTCTTGTTAACCAGAGACCTCAGAAACTGGGGCTCCTGAAGAACTAAGTACCCTGAAGAAACCAGTCTGCAAAGCTGCATTTTCATATCAAAATAGCCCACTGAGAATATTTATTGACGAGGGAGACGGCACTCTATTACCTCTCCTGAGTTAGTCTCTTCCTCCTGGCTCTCTCCGGGTTTCACCTGGGCTGTGGCAAGTAATGGAGCTAAGGGAAGGGAAAATATCAAGTCAGAAACAATCTTATCAAAACAGGACTTATGATAATATAAGAAAAGAATCTGCAATGGTTTCATCACCATCTCGACCTCCAACTTCTTATTAAAATACCATTTACATAAAGAAGAATCTCTCAGCTTCTCCTTTCGAGTGGATTAAAAAATTGTTAAATTTTTTTACAGCATGATAATGGTATCATTATTTTTAATTTTTTTAAAAGTTCTTATCTTTTAAAGACACTGAAATATTCATGATATTTATATTTGGGATTTGAGGTGGGTGAATAAAGGATAGGGATGCAGATGAAACAGGATTTGATATGTGATAACTGTTGAATCTATGTGATGGGCATACTTGAGAGTTGATTACAAGTAAAAGTTAACATCTCCCTTTCCCTGGAAATGACTGGGGAGGCAGAAAAGGGAAGTCTCCAGGGAGGTAAGTTTGTTCTATATTACAATGATTTGGGTTAAGGGGTATCTATCTGTCAAAAACGTACAGCTAAGATTTAGAAATTTCAATGTATGACAATTTCCCTTGTACAACACATACTAAATTGGGGACGTGAAGTGAGTGGAGGTATAGGTAATACCAGAACGGCAGATCATGGCTAAGTGCTGAATCTGGGTGACACAGAAAAGAGTTCATTATGCTAATCTCTTGACTTTGTATACATTTTCCATAATAAAAAGTTATATGTTAACTCCTCTCAAAAAAGATAAATCAGGTAAAAATAGCTAACATGTATTGAGTACTATTTGTGAAGTCCATCACTCATCCGTTTATCAAAGTGTGGCGGTTTGCATGCTACGAGGCTGCTGGAAGCTATACCACTGGTATTTTAAAAACCAACAGGCTCACATATGATGAGCAGATTTTAGCTGTTTCCAAACTAAAACAGACTAGGAAGAAAGGTCTGGCAACTACATCCCAAAATTAGCCAATGAAACCTTATGGTACACAATAAAATGTTGTCTGATAAGTGATAGAAGATGAATGCCCTACACTGGAAAGCACTCAAAATAAACAGAAGCCACAAGAGTGGACTTGAACACGCCAATGACTATGAAGGTGGTGCACAACTGGGCATTATTTTGTTCTGTTGTATTCTGAGTCACCGTAAGTCGACAATTTACCAAGCATAAACCTAAATATTTATGTCATATTTTATTCTTAAAATGAGATATGAAGCAACATGCAAAAAGCCAGTTTGTCATTCTGTAAATGACGAGGACTTAAACTCCAAGTCGACTGACTCAAGATCCACTAGCCTATTAAATCGCCTGTTGAGTCTTCTCTTCTCCCAACCCACAAACTTCACCCCACTTCTTGGAACTAGACAATACATTTGAGACTTTTGCCTTCCACCTAGCAACTGCTGACCCTTGGTTTAGTCGTTTTTCTCTGAACCTCAATTCCAAATTTGTAAAATTATGACAAGACGGTATTACTCTAGAGGAGTTGTTGCAGGGACCAAATGAAATAGTCCATACAATACATGGGCATATAATAAACCTTCAACAAATTCCATTTATTATTATATGCACAGTCAGAAACAGCAGAAGAAAACGAAGTACCTTTCTTTGCTAGAGAATGCCCTAAGAAGTACTGACTGACTATTAGAACTCCACTACTTTCTTTCTCTATATCCACATATGACACTATAGGGAACCAGAGAAACGAAAACTCATTCCTAGGTTCCCACGGCTGGTCTGTGGCAGACTACACAGACAGCACCATAAAGCCGAGAACTCCAGAGCTGCCCAGCTTCCGTTGATCTTGACCACCCTCATCCCAAGGGCCTCCCTAACCTGTGAGCTCCTGGATGGTGACACGGTCCAGAATCTTGAAGCTCGTGTCCAGTTTCAGGGGCTGGCTGCAGCGCTGACACACGAAGCTTACCTGCATGGTGCTGCTGGACGTCTTAGACCCCTCCATTCCTGTGGCGACAGAGAAGGGGCGAGGTTAGGTAGGATCGGCGCGGGGTCCCACCTATTTTGGCGGTGAAGGGGGAAACCCTCACTCTGTCCCCTCTAGGAGCCATACGCTAGGCGGACTTGCTTCCGGGGCAACTCAGCCAAAGGCAGTTTAGAGCACGGTGTCAGAGAGCGGGCGCAACAGAGACCGTCACAATCCCCAAGTTCCCTTCTAAGGTTTCGACTAAGCCCTTGTCACACTTCACCTTGGGGCCCTGGAGCCTGCCACCCAGGTCCGGTCTACCGGGGGGGCACCGTAGCCTCGGGTCTGTCCGGGAATAAGAACCCCAGAACCGCCATTGCCCAGACTTCAGCTACTTCCCGGTCTGCCGGCGGAGAACTTCCGCTCGGGACAGGACGTGACGCCACGACGGCTGCCGGCACTCCCACGGACGGGGCTGGTCGACTGGCGTACGGACTGGCAGCGCCCCCCAGAGACTCGGTTGGGAAGCGCAGCAGACATCGGCTACCTCTCCGAACATCGCGCGAAGGTTTGAGGGGAAGTGGAAGGGCCGAGTCTGGGGAGTCTCCAGCAGCTATGTAATTCAAGGACTTTTTTCAAGATTCTTCATTCCTGAGTTATTGTTGTTAAGTGCCGTCGAGTCGATTCCAACTCATAGCGACGCTGTATAGGGTTTCCCCAGAGCGGCTGGTGAGTTTGAACTACGGACCTTGTGGTTCAAACCGACCTTGCGTTCTAGTGCATTAATCCACAGCGCCATGAGTAGAGCCACTTTAATTCTATCTGCGCTATCAATTTTTAACTTTTCTTCTTCTTTGTTGTTGTTAGGTGCGATGGAGTGGGTACCGACTCATAGCGACCCCATAAACAACAGAATGAAACGCTGTCCAGTCCTGTCCCAACTTCACAATCTTTGCGTTTGAGCCCACTGCTACTGCCACTGTACCAAGTGATTTCGGTCAGGGTCTTCCTGTTTTTCGCTGACCCTTTACTTTACCAAGCATGATATCTTCCTCTAGGGACTGGTCTTCCTCATAATATGTCCAAAGAATGAGAGATGTCTGGCCATTCTGGCTTCTGAGGAGCATTCTGGCTGTACTTCTTCCAACACAGATTTGTTTATTATTTTGGCAGTCAATGGTACTTCTAATATTCTCCTTCAACACCATGATGCAAACACATCCATTTTTTAACAGCCTCCCAACTTTAACATGCACATGAGGTTATTGAAAATACCATGGCTTGGGTCAGGTGCTTAGTCCTCAGACTAATATCTTTGCTCTTTAATGAACACTTTGAAGAAGTCTAGTGCAGCAGATTTGCCTAATGCAATATTTCCTTTGAATTCTTACCCACTGCTTCCATGAGTGTTGGTGGATCCAAGCAAAATGAAGTGTTTGACAACTTCAATCTTTTCTCCTCTTTATGTCTGCTGTCTTTACCATTAAGGGGAAGAACTGTGTGGTCATCATGGAGTCAGGCTCAGATAGTGACCACAGACTTTCAGAAGCTCTTTCCCACAGGAGATTGTACATCATCCTGGCCGGACACAACACTGAGTCTAGACCATTGTCCAGTGCCTCAAGTTCCAGCTGAACCTGTATGAGCTGAAGGAAGGTCAAGCCTTACACTCTCATGAGCATGGTGGCCAACCTCTTATATGAGAGACTGTTTGACCCCTATTCCACTGAGCCCCGTCATTGCTGGATTGGACCTGAAGACCTTTAAGCCATTCATTTGCTCTCTGGACCTCATCAACTGCCCCATGGTAACTGACGACTTTGTGGTCATACCTGCTCTGAACAAATGTACAGGATATTTGAGTTCCTTTGGGGTCCCAACATGGATCCAGAACATGTATTTGAAACATCTTCCAAGCCATGCTGAATGCTGTGGATCAGGACGCAGTGTCCGGCATGGGAGTTGTTGTCCACATCATGTATGAGTTGGGAGAGGTCTAGAACTTTGCAGACACCTCCCTCTCCCCTCACAGACACCCACCCCATCTTCCCAGCCTGCAGGACAGGTGTGAAATAAGAAAGGCGTCTGTGGCAGTCATGGGATGGTGGGAATCCCTGCTTCTCTAAGGGGAGTAGCTGGGAGCCTACCAGGCTGGCCCTTCCCGGCCTTTGTCAGATGAGCCTCCATAACCCAAGTTTCCTCCTTTTTCTGACAGTTGACATTTCTTTCCTTCCTTGAAAGTGTCCCCCAAGTCAGATCTGTGTGGGAATGAGCCACAGCAGAGCTGCTCCAGTGAAATCAGGGTTTGTCTCCATCCTCGTCCCCCAACTCCCATCAGCTTGGAGCCCTGTAATATGCTGAGCTCTGGAAACTTATTTCCCAACTCCCAGCCAGCTCCTTAAGTGCTGCCCCTTCCCCCCATACTTGCTTGGAGCTGTCACCAGGGACCTGATTGGATGGAGTAGAAGATGACAACCCACCTGCTTTCCTTAGGGACATCCCAGAATAAGCATTTGGATCCTTTGTGTTATTAAATGTTGTTTTGTGCCGTTGAGTCGGTTCAGACTCATAGTGACCCTATATAGGGTTTCTGAGAAGCGATTAGTGGGTTTGAACCACTGACCTTGAAGTTCTAGGTGACCTTGCAGTCCAGTGCTTATCCTACAGTGCCTGCTTAATTACCAGTGATCATTTGGTTGCTGTTGACACTGAATTTACCACCCAGATCTTTGTCTATCATTGAGGTGAAACACCTCACATCTCCTATTTCTCTAGGACTATTAGCATAGTAAATCCTCACCACTGGACCAATAAACAAATTCTTATCAATGGAGAAAAGATTGAAGTTGTCAAGGACTTCATTCTTCTTGAATCAACACTCACGGAAGCAGCAGTCAAGAGATCAAATGACATATTGCATTAAGCAAATCTGCTGCACAAGACCTTTTTAAAGTGTTGAAGAGCAAAGATGTCAGCTTGAGGACTGAGGTGCATCTGACCCAAGCCATGGTGTTTTCAATAATCTCATAGGCATGCAAAAGCTGGACAGTGAATAAGGAAGACCATAGAAGAATTGATGCTTTTGAATTATGGTGTTGGATGAGAATATTGAAAGTGTCATGGACTGCCAAAAGAACCAATAGATCCATTTTGGAAGAAGTGCCACCAGAGTGCTCCTTAGAGGCCAAGATGGCCCAACTTTGTCTCTCATACTTTGGACATATTATCAGGAGGGAGCAGTTGCTGGAGAAGGATATCATGTTTGGTAAGGTGGAGGGTCAGAGAAAAAGAGGAAGACCCCAATGAGGTGGAGTGTCCAAGTTTCAGCATCGAAGGACTCAAGCGTGACAACAATAGTGAGGTTGGCCCAGGATTGGGCAGTGTTTTGTTCTGTTGTGCATAGAGTCGCTATGAGTCAGTACTGACTGGATGGCACCTAACATCAGCAACAATGGGGGCGCTTCTTCGCTTCTTAGGGGGATTCTCAGTCTAAGCCTGTATCCTCTGGACTGCTAATGGTTCCACTTCTAGGAAAACTTTCACCACTCTTCCCATTTCTCCATCCTCCCCGCCCCCATCACCTCCCCGCCACCCCCCCACACACACACACACGTCAACTGAAGGCATCGCAATAATAATGTCACAAGAACAAAACAGAGCTAGGAGGACAGCTGCAAGGCACGCCTTATCCTAGAACAGCTGTGGGACTTGAAGTGTGGGTGCCAGGGGCCGGGAGGGAGAAGCAGTCTAGCTGGTTCTAGGTTTGTTTTGTGACTCTGTCTCTACAGTGAGGACACACTTAGTACCTGGACACTGGAAACCCGACTGGACTAACTGTCTCTTCCTCCTGCATCCACAATACCAAAATATTAGCCTTTAAAATTTTTATTTTTATTAAATAATATTTTCTTAAAAAAAAAAAATAATTCTTTCGGAACTACCCAAGACACTGTAACAAAAATTTAAAAGAAAAATGTAGAGGGGATTATTGCTTATGGAGTACCAAGTTTCAGTTTGTGATGATGGAAATATTACAGTGATTAAAGGTAGGGTTGCACTGATTGGTGTAATTGCTTCGAATGAGTTTGTACACCTGTAAAAAGTTAAATTGGCAAAAGTGTGGTGTATTTACAACAATAACAAAAGAGAGAGAGTAGCTGCTGAAGCTGTTTATGCACAACTAAGCACCTCATAAAATTTGGTTCCTTGGAGGTTTAGGATCATAGTTTCATGAGACATCCTAGTTAGTTGGTCTAATAATTTATTAGTGCTTCTGTTCTATCTCCTAGTTTATTGCCTAGGGTCTTAAAAGCTTGCAAACAGCCTTCCAAAACACAATTGACAATTGGTCCCTACTCACGTGGAGCAACAAAGGAAGAGGGAGAGTCAGGAATAAGAGGAAGATATGGAATGTGTGGAGTCCTGGTGTGGCACTGTGGGCTAATGCACTGGACTGCAAAGTCGATTTGAACCTCAAGGTCGACAGTTCAAGCTCACCAGTTGCTCCTTGGAAACCCTATACAGGGTCACTATGAGTCAGATCCAACTCGACAGCACTTAACAACAACAACATGGAATGTGTGATGAATTGTTTCCATAAACAGTGGCTTCCTTTGCTGTGAGACCAGAACTGGATGATGCCCAGTTATCATTACTGAACATTTTTATCAACAATTCTATAGAAGAATCTTGATTGAAAGAGAGTAAATGCAGAACAGGAATTGCAAGTTCTCATGGAATCCAGACTTTCTGGAGCCATTGAGGCTGGAGGAACTGTTGCCCTGAGAAAAATCTTTAAATCTTAAACCAAAAATATCCCCTGAAATCTTCTTTAAACTAAAGAATAGTTTAGCATAATTAATAAAAAATGTCTGCCTTAAGCATTGTGACACCTCCCCCCCTTTTTTAAGTTTTTATTGTGAATCGAGTGATAGTTTCCATGGGAGAACATCGGTTTTACACTCATCATTTAATTACTATTATTACAATCTCCTCCATGCATCATCATTCAACAGTATTTGCTTCCATTCCCTCTGTTTTTTTTTTTGTTTTTTTTTTGGGGGGGGGTGTATATACACAAAAACACTCAGGAATATATAATAATTTAAACAACCAAAGGGCACATTCTGCAAGCCTGCCTCCCGGCCACCAACACTCAGTCTTTCTCTTTCCATGAGTCTAATGTCCTCAGCTTCTCTCTCTCAGAAAGAAACTTGACAAAGACACAGAAGAACTAAACAATACAAATCAGTCACCTAGACCTCATAGATGTGTACAGACCATTCAACCCAACAACAGCACAATACACATTCTTTTCCAGTGCACATTCTCCAGAATAGACCATGTGTTAGGCCACAAAACAAACCTCCATAAATTTACAAATATCAAAATACTACAAAGC